CCAAACACCAAATATTCGAGGGTAGTTCTCTTCTTTCCTAAATCTTTCTTTGCACATACTAAATTTTGATCCATTGAGATTTCCGCAGGGGCTAGTCATTGTTGCAGATAACCAAAGAACGATAAGAGCAAACGGAAAAGGCCCTGAAAATGCCAATAATTGGGGTGACACCAAATGACAGGGTTGCTTCACTGAAGAAGTGTTTTGGTATTCCCTTTCAGACTATATATATATATATATGCTGTGGAGACTCAACATTGCACACCAATATGAATAAATTCGGCTCCCATTTCTGTATATGATGTTCAAAAGGATACCTAAAGATCTTGTTGACGTTTATTTTTGGAAATTAATGAATTATACATGATACAGCTATAAAAGGTTGGCGGATAGGCTAAACTTGTGAATAAAAATCTTTAATTCCATTTATTATTTTATTTGACATTTGATTTGTCTTGTATATGCAACTATGCATTGGTTGTTTCTTAATAGACAAGTGAAATTATTCATGCCAATGGCCAAGATCCAACTTATATATATTTTATAATTTAAAACCTCTCATTGGAAACAAATGAAATAATTCATGCCAAATGATATTTAAACAAATTATTTTTTATGATTTTTTTTGGTAAAAATAAAAGTTTTACCCATAAAAAAAAAAAATTCACAGTTCAAATCTTTGTGATGATTAAAAATTAATTTCTTCAACCAAGTACAACCAATGAAACAAATATTTTTGTCAAGATGAATTAAATCATGAACTTCTCCTTTTTACCTTCAATTTTAATAAAAAAAGAAAATTTGTTTATTTTTTTACCGTCATAAAGAAGGAAATTGTTTGTTGTGTTACTGAGTTATTCATCTTTTTCTTCGAACAATCCGTTATGCAACCAAAAAAAAAAAAAGTTCTATGGTTGAAAAACCTTTTTCAAGATATTAAAAATACAGAATATATACCTATAGATAAATAATATTTTTAAAAGGAGATAATTTGGAATATTAAATA